TATAGTCAGAGGCAGAGTGGTGAAGTATGGTGAGGTTTACCTTGCTTATATACAGTGTCAGGGCAGAGTGGTGAAATATGGTGGGGTTTACCTTGCTTATATACAGTGTCAGGGGTAAGTAGTGAAGTATGTGAGGTTTACCTTTGCTTGAAGTATGGTGAAGTATGGTTTACCTTGCTTATATATAGTGTCAGAGGCAGAGTGGTGAGTATGGTGGGGTTTACCTTGCTTATATACAGTGTCAGGGGGCAGAGTGGTGAAGTATGGTGAGGTTTACCTTGCTTATATACAGTGTCCAGGGGCAAGTGGTGAAGTATGGTGAGGTTTACCTTCCTTATATACAGTGTCAGGGGCAGGTGGTGAAGTATGGTGAGGTTTACCTTGCTTATATACAGTGTCAGGGCAGAGTGGTGAAGTATGGTGAGGTTTACCTTTGCTTATATACAGTGTCAGGGCAGGTGGTGAAGTATGGTGAGGTTTACCTTGCTTATATACAGTGTCAGGGGAAGAGTAGTGTATGGTGAGGTTTGCCTTGCTTATATACAGTGTCAGGGCAGAGTGGTGAGAGAGTATGGTGAAGTTTACCTTTGCTTATATAGTGTCAGAGGCAGAGTGGTGAAGTATGGTGAGGTTTACCTTGCCTTATATATACGTGTCAGAGGCAGAGTGGTGAAGTATGGTGAGGTTAACCTTGCTTATATACAGTGTCAGGGGCAGGTGGTGTGAGTATGGTGAGGTTTACTTGCTTATATATACAGTGTCAGGGGGCAGAGTGGTGAAGTATGGTGAGGTTTGCCTTGCTTATATACAGTGTCAGGGGCAGAGTGGTGAAGTATGGTGGGGGTTTACCTTGTATATACAGTGTCCAGGGAAGCAGAGTGGTGAAGTATGGTGAGTTTACCTTGCTTATACAGTGTCAGGGGCAGAGTGGTGGTGAGTATGGTGGGTTTACCTTTGCTTATATACAGTGTCAGGGGCAAGTGGTGAAGTATGGTGAGGTGAAGTTTACCTTGCTATATACTTGCTTATATACAGTGTCAGTGGTGAGAAGTATAGTGAGGTTTACAGGGGGGCAGTGGTGAAGAATGGTGAGGTTTACCTTGCTTATATACAGTGTCAGGGCAAGTGGTGAAATATGGTGAGGTTTACCTTGCTTATATACAGTGTCAGGGGCAGAGTGGTGAGAGTATGGTGAGGTTTACCTTGCTTATATACAGTGTCAGGGGCAGAGTGGTGAAATGTGGTGGGGTTTACCTTGCTTATATGCAGTGTCAGGGGCAGAGTGAAGTATGGTGAAGTTTACCTTTGCTTATATACTCAGTGTCAGGGGCAGAGTGGTGAAGTGTGGTGAGGTTTTACCTTGCTTATATACAGTGTCAGGGGCAGAGTGGTGAAATATGGTGAGGTTTACCTTGCTTATATACAGTGTCAGGGGCAGAGTGGTGAGAGTATGGTGAGGTTTACCTTTATATGCTATACAGTCAGAGGGCAGAGTGGTGAAGTATGGTGAGGTTTACCTTGTCATCAGGGGCAAGTGGTGGTAGGTTTACCTTTGTATAGCAGTGTCAGGGGAGCCAGAGTGGTGAAGTATGGTGAGGTTTACCTTGCTTATATACAGTGTCAGGGGCAGAGTGGTGAAGTATGGTGAGGTTTACCTTGCTTATATACAGTGTCAGGGGCAGAGTGGTGAAGTATGGTGAGGTTTACCTTGCTTATATAGTGTCAGGGGCAGAGTGGTGAAGTATGGTGAGACATTTGCTTCATATGTTTGTTTTAGACATTTCACTTGCCAATGTTTGAGCTGTTTTTTAGGTACGCTTAAATTAGGTTTAATGGTACATAAACGTAGTTAATACCAGTGAATGTTTGGTTATACAATACTGCTCTTATAAATAACAAAAAAATCTAGTCAAGGAAATCTAACATCGTGTGAAATAGGGTTGGGGAAGGGGGAGACTACTGTATATGCCTGTTTTCATCACTGTAAAGTCAGATATCAGAATGGCTCAAATATCACCATTCATTAATGTCCAGTGTTATATTATAAACTTTATCGTGGTAAATGTGTATAAGACCTTGAGTGTGGAGGAAGATTACAAGTGAGGTGGTTAAAGTCTCAAAATGAGGGGTATCGAGATGTGACCCCCTGTATGTATCAAGAACTGGTTAACAATATTGGTGTAAAAAAAGACAATTACTCTTCAGTTCCACATTAAGGCGGCAACTTCAATATGCTATCACTACCTATAAATTAATATACCTGTACTATTACCTATTCCTAAACATCTATTGTACATGCAAATAAAACACTCAACTAGTGTATATGGTTTTAAGTGATAAGAGTAGGAGCCTTGTACTCTCCCACGGCAGCATTACTATTGATGAGAAACTAGATGTTCTTTTATTTGCCAGAGTAATCTTTGTTCATATCACTAAATACCCTGTTCTGTCTTGCTAAAAATTTTATCTTTTTATTAAGTCTTATATTTCTGTTCTTTGTTTTTCATTCTTCCTGTATAAATTTCTCTGTTATCTTTTTACAACTTTCCCTTTCATTGTTTTTTGTTTTTATGACTTACTATTTATCATTATTTTTATGTCTACTGTCAGGTATGGTAAATACTATACAGTCCCCTTCACTAGTGCATTTACAGGGGCTCTTCAGATTTTGTGCAGTGTGGCACCGCTGTGTTTGTTTACATTCAACAAAAGGAAACTACCAATCGTAAATATACTATCGAATCAAATAGAATCGATATTAAAATAAATACGTCAATGATAATGATTTGTGGAATGTTTATGTGACGAGTCCCTGTAAATGTACTAGTGAAGGGGACTGTACATGGTTTGTAATCCTTCACTAAGATTTGTTGAATATACTGTATGGTGCTAAATAAATATATTGTACATCTATCTTTTTACTTGTACGTAATTACAGGTGGTCTCACCTTAACTACCATACATAAGTACAACTGGTCTCCTCACCATAAACTACCATACATAATTACTACTGGTCTCCTCACCATAAACTACCATACATAATTACAACTGGTCTCATCACAACTCCCATACATAATTACAACTGGTGTCACCTTAACTACCATACATAATTACTACTGGTCTCACCATAAACTACCATACATAATTACTACTGGTCTCCTCACCATAAACTACCATACATAATTACAACTGGTCTCCTCACCATAAACTCCCATACATAATTACAACTGGTGTCACCTTAACTACCATACATAATTACTACTGGTCTCCTCACCATAAACTACCATACATAATTACTACTGGTCTCACCATAAACTACCATACATAATTACTACTGGTCTCACCATAAACTACCATACATAATTACAACTGGTCTCCTCACCATAAACTCCCATACATAATTACAACTGGTCTCCTCACCATAAACTACCATACATAATTACAACTGGTCTCCTCACCATAAACTCCCATACATAATTACAGCTGGTCTCATCACAACTCCCATACATAATTACAACTGGTGTCACCTTAACTACCATACATAATTACAACTGGTGTCACCTTAACTACCATACATAATTACAACTGGTGTCACCTTAACTACCATACATAATTACAACTGGTCTCCTCACCATAAACTACCATACATAATTACAACTGGTCTCCTCACCATAAACTACCATACATAATTACAACTGGTCTCACCTTAACTACCATACATAATTACAACTGGTCTCACCATAAACTACCATACATAATTACTACTGGTCTCCTCACCATAAACTACCATACACAATTACTACTGGTCTCCTCACCATAAACTACCATACATAATTACTACTGGTCTCCTCACCATAAACTACCATACATAATTACAACTGGTCTCCTCACCATAAACTCCCATACATAATTACAACTGGTCTCCTCACCATAAACTACCATACATAATTACAACTGGTCTCACCTTAACTACCATACATAATTACAACTGGTCTCCTCACCATAAACTACCATACACCACCAGATTCTGTGTTTCCTTGCCATCATTCCATCAACACCAGTACAGTGAGGCTCTCTTGCCAACACTAGAACAATTCTTAGGTGCACCAACATCCATCCCCTCTAGGAGAAGGAGCTACCCACTACCTTTTGCATATCAGCGCCAGTCTGACCTACCTGCATCATAGTGGGAAGAGGCTTGTTTGTATAAGATAATGACAAAAATCATATGCAATTATAGGGAGTACAGAACATTATATATATTAGACGATGTACTAGACAAATTTAAATATTCAATAAATATACGATGAAAATAAATGTAAATATACACTATGCATTGTTATACACATTTACAGCCATCATTTCACAATAAATTATTGGAGAAGCTGAAGTAAAAACAGCATAAAACAATTCATTTTTTAAAGACTGAAAGCTTCTCTGTCCATAACTATGACTGACATCTGTGTGGCATAACTTAACTAATGTCAACTTTTCTGAAATTGTCCAAGATCACTAACAAGTTAATTTCTTCAAATTATATATTCTGCTTGGTTTCTTTTTATAATGGCTGATGATCCTTGACCCATATAACTGTAGCATACTGTACTGTACATTCTTTTATGGTATTATTAGGCAATATTCTTTAATTTTCTCACTCATACACCTCTCTTCCACACCATCTTCTGTGTTTGGCTTAGTTTCCAGTTATATTCAATTTGTTATTCTTTGTCTTGCATAGTAAATGGTAATTCTTCTTTCATGATTAGTAATAGTGCAGAAGTATGTGTGTCTGGTAGGGGCAGCACAGTGTAGTTTACTGTAGGCTGGGTTATGGGAGTTACAAGAGTGATTGGATGACATGAAATTTATGGTCTGCCCACACTATTCTACTGTCCTATGCACTAAAAGTCTTACAAGTGTTAGAGAATGAGATTACTTGTACCATTATAGTTTCAACTTGTTTAATTCATCTTTACCTCCAAAGGAACATAAAAAACAAGTTCAATTTGATGATTTATTTAAACTCAAACAATACTTGTGTCAGACAAGACACATATGCACAATCAATAAAAAATCATTAACTGCTTACATCCTTGAAATATTTATTGCCATAACATTAAAATTGTGAAACACTTTTCCTCAGTAAAGATGGCGAACATGTCAGGGAGCCGTTCAGGGCGGGTGTTTGTTGGCCAGGCGTGTGAGGTCCACCATCCTCTTATTGTACTAGCGTTCTCCCCGGGTCCGCAGCTGCCGCTAAGCAGCCGCTGCTTGTGGAGTTCGGCTCCGCCAGTTATGTGACGGTCCGCCTCCAACACCGTGGGTAGGTAACACTGGGGGCACAGCGGTAACCCCACACCCTGGCCAACCGTGAGCCTCTCACACTCCCACACTGTGGGCGTATATAACTGTGAGTGGCCTGAGTGTCACTGTGCCCTGCCCGGCTGCCTGTCACTTGTGGCCCGGCCTTCCCAAGCATGGACAAACTAACGCACCCAGCATCAGTGATGCTGCAAGATTTGGCATTAAGTTGGCACTAGGTTAACATTTTATAATTGGCACTTAAGTAATACTGTCCGTTTCCATGTCGGGGTAAGGACGGGCCACATGTACAACTAGTAACTACACGCGAACATAGTGACACGTGAAGAACAATGATATGTAAATCTGTGCCTAATACACAATCCCCCTGTAAAGTACGAGTAACCTCTCCTGCACTGACTAGCTGTAATGCTAACGCTGAAGATTCACCGAGATGATGAGGCGGCCCACAAGCTTGTGTCTGCAGGCGGCACTGCCGGGCCAACCCCGTTACTCCGAGCGCTACACCGCCGGTCGCCCGTGCGGCGTCATTCACCTGCACGGGGACTGGCCTGCTAATGTGCTTCACCTCAGCCTCCGACATTAACTACAAAGACTAATGAATACCGATCAGCAGACCAGTAAGAGAGAAGTGTAAGCGTCGGCGGCGTCTCCGGCCTGGCGCCCCATCCGGCTCCCAGTACAGTGGCACGTCAGCCTAGGAGATCAAGGGTGTGGGAGCCAGAGGGCAGCAGGCGGGAGACCACACGAGGTCAGTGCTCAGTGCCGCCTGCATTTCACCTCACTGCTGCGTGGACACACGAGTTCAGGCGTCAGAAGTAGATACCGTACAAGAAAACAGTATAAAACAACGCCGCCGTTTAGCTGAAAACAGTACTGAAAGACATATGATATTAAGTGTACACATTTCTATTGTAATACACTGCTCGACCCTGTTCAGTTTCATATAAGGCAAATACTGAGAGCAAGAGGGATGTAGTGAGCTGCAGGTCAGGTCAGGGCAGGTCAGGTGATGGGTCGGGTGTTAGGTCGAAGCGGCGGCGGTGGTGGTGCCTCGGGGTGAGGTGGCGGAGCCGGCCAGAGAGGAAGGCAAGACGTGAGTATACCCGCCCTGAATGATTCAATCGCGCAGTATCTGCTTCGCCTGTATTCTTCTCGTAGGGAGCAGTACAGACCGCTAGCGACCTTAAGTGTACATCGTCCGTGGTCTAGGGAGGACTCCTCTCCGGTCAGCGCCTACCACCCGCACCCTCACGTGTCCCCCGCCGTCCAGGTTATCCCGCTATTCCACGAATGGGCCTAATACAAGGAGTAACCGAAGCTAAAACAAAACAGATTTGGTTATATGCCCTGAGATTTTTATATATATTTTTTTTTAGTTTTTGCAAATCATATGTAGAAAGCAACAAACACATGAAGTGAGTGAGGATTATCTGCCAGGTTTAGCATAATTAAGGTGAGCACTATCGCTAGTAAGCCAAGGCCCTAGTACTGCATCAGTGCACGTCAGGCATCACAGGAGCCGCTGCTCGGTGGCATCACCGCCCCCGTCCGCGCCGCTCAGCCTGACGGCAACTTATGACCTAACCATCTGTATATAACAAATTAACAATAAGACACGTGCGCAACAGAAAGACTCATTACACCGATTCATATGCATATACAAATTAGTTGGATATTGCTATATCAACCGTCCACAGCCCTAGCAAAAATCATAAAAAAGCATATGCAATGCATGGCTACTCTGTATCAAATATTTGCTATAGTGAACAGCGAGTATATGTTCTTGGTAGAGCCCACCGTGGTTACCGGCTGGGCTACTAGATGCCTTTACTCGCCCGAGAGTGTGTGAGCAGTGGGCGGAGGCTCCTTGTTGGGCACGGCTCTGTATACCCGGGTAATGGGCAGGCATGGGCAGGGTGGGGGTGCGAGAAGACCCGCGACCCCCACCCTGGCCCACGTGCCTGACTCCCTAGACTGGCACAGGAACCCTGGAAGGCCACACCCACCGCGCACACAAGAATTGCGACACCAAAACCTTGGTTTTTGTTAATTGTTGTTTCTTGGTACAATTTTTTTTCTACTGCGTCACGCTCAGTGAGTTAGATACTAATTTAGGTTACATAACTGAGCAATGTAAAATTCACAGCTCCTTGATTATAATTTCTTGAAGGTATTAATTAAAAGATAGATGAGAGGGTACGCTGCGCCGTGCACCGGGCTTGGCTGCAGCACGCGCCAGTCTCACATGGAATGGCTGAGGCAGCGGCTGTACGCTGCACTCACGAAAGTGCCCCGGCACTTGTCGTGACTCTAGAGGGTTCTAGAGGTGTCCTAGAGGGTCCTGGTGCAGCTAGTGAGACTACTGGGGGAGGGGCTGGACTCGCCCCGCCACGGTTCTCCAGAGCCACTCTTCCCTAGCCCATCACCACCCATCTTGTGCACCTCACTGACTTCTTCACTCCTGTCCACCCTACATACTAATCCTTAAGTCATAATTGTTCATAATTACCCTTTTCCATGAACTATAAGTGTATCAGTTGATAACATTGGGAGTTAAATTATAGGTCAATGTCATAAATACATAAAACAAAACAAAACTGTTAAAGATGTGAATAAAAGATGTGTGGACAGGTGTTGGGTGTGGCGGTGCTCGGGTCCGGGGATGGGCAGAGGGTGGAGCGGCTGGGTGTATGCTGCTCCTTACGGCGAGGTCTGGCGGGGACCTCCGCCGATCTGAGGCAGACAAGAGGTGTGTGCAGCGCGGTCGAGTGGCGGAACACACTAACAGTTGGTCGACTTCTGGTATGAGGGGGTTGGGGGGAGGGGGTCAGGGACTCGTAGAAACTTTACGTTGTCTAAGACTATACATTGTGGCAATACCTTAAAGAGTAATTTAAAACGTGTTTTATCACCATATACTACAATATGATTAAAAATCAATGACATGCCATGTGAAAACAATAAATAAATGCTTGGCACACATTCGACTAGACTTGAAGCCTTACCAGCCTCTCACAACTAGACAGTACATGGGACTAAAATGTAAACGCTTACAAAGCCCTACTGACGTATGGTAATATGTCTTTTACAAAACCCTGTGGAAGCCAATGACAGCTTCAGTTCATGAAGGTCAGAAGGAAGCATAAGAAAATACTTTCAATTCTAGGAAACATCTAAAGCTTCGAGATAGAAATATTAAATATTTACCGACATTTACTATCTGATGCATCCAAGAACTTGTAGATAAGATTATAAAATTCAGAGTGTATCTACAGAACAACACCTCTATGTATACATAGCAGTAGATAACTATTTCTTTGTTATTACAGTATTCTAAAACTAGAGATAAGCTCAACTATATGATTGATCAGTCATATACTGAAGGTGGAGTTTTCATAAAAATATCATTTTCAGTTAATCGACTAAAATATCAAGCCTTTTCCACGTGTTAGCCTCTATATCAAGTGATCCAGTCAAAGAGTATAAAATGGTACGCATGTATACAATACTTCAGTTATCACAGTCACATTTCTGGTTCCAGCTGGAGCATTCCGATGGTAACGATGCTTGAGCAAACGAGGTTGGCGCAGGGGGTCAGGCAAGGTGGGGAGTAGCGGCCGCCCTGGGGGATTAACTGAAAATGTTGTACACTGAGCTACACAACTGGGCAGGGACCGGCCCACAGCACTACCAGCTGGCTGCTGGCCGGGCCCCGCTGACACCGAGAGTATAAAGTGGTAATTGTGGTAACATGTGTCACTGAGGCGCCTCCCAGCCACGCCCACCGTGGCCGACCCGCCCCTCCACCGCTCGTCTCCAGTGTGCCGGCACCACCACCACCCACTGCCACGCTTGCGCCTCCTACCTCGCCACCAACACCGAGGCATTCTTGACCACAACCGCCAACTAGACTTGTACCACAGCAATTTATACTTAAATAATGACTTTTTCTTCTAATATCTGTGCAGAAATACATGCTCAATAAATTCAGAGAAGAGGTGTTGGCAGGAGTGGTAGAGGTAGGTGGTGGTGAAGTGGTGGTGAGGGGGCGCGGCGAGCTGGTGGTGTTACTGCATGCCTGGCCAGACACCCGGTGTTGTGTGGGAAGCTGGGGTGACGGTGGCCAGCTGCATTATGGGCCGCTCCTGAGGCAGGGTTTTGGCTGGGTCCAACAACACTAGAGGCTGCTCGCATCAGTGGATAGGGGCTCGCACGATGTGGTTGGGTGCAATGTATTGGTAGCCCACGCCCGCCATACCCAGTCCTGCTGTCTCCATCGCTATCCTGCAACACACACCCGCATCACCCATCACCAATACTCAGACTTTAAACACCATTTTCATTATTAACTCTCCACATAACCAAGTGTTTCACTTAAGTAACTAAAATATTTTACTTCAGGAACATTAAGTTATGTACAGTATAATGAATTCTTAATGGTAAGGAAGTTAGTCATTTGTATTCATAGTCACATCCCAGAGGCCTCCTGTATTATGCAAGTCTGTCGTTTATACTGTATGTGACGTGGGCCATTTATCTGGTCATCAAGTTTTCTTCCATCAAATATAAACACAAAAATATTCATCAAGGTGTAAGTGTCCACTTTGCTCCGCTCGAGTCAGATAGAGTGTAACACCCTATTACTGTACTGTATCATTAATATTCTTGATGACTGCCTTCACTCAGTCTGTCAACCTTGTTCCTCTGTAACAATCTCATACATTAATATTAACACTTCATGAAATAGTCTTCATACCTGCACTTTCACTCTTCCTGTAATTGTTAACATAAATTAGTAAACAAGATCTTTGGCCAGCTGGTGGATTTAACAGGTATGTTGGGGCTTGAGTGAGGTACAGGGAACAGGTAGAGACTGTTTAGTTTGCTTGGCAGGATGATATATGACAAGGTACTTCAACACTTGTTGTTCCCAGTGTGACAACTTACCTGCTGGGGGATGAGGTGTCTCGGTAGCGTTGGATTGACACGATCGCCGCATCGGCTTTATGGCCAGGCAAGTGTCCCCATAGTGTTACGTCAGTCCAAGGTTACGTGGTGGCTCCCTTCTACACGCATCCACGTTAACAATGACAAGTGCAGGACTGAGGCATTAACTGAGAGAACTTTATTGAGTGTTAGTGTTGCAGAAGGGAGCCAGCCATCCAGAGGGTGTTGAGGTGCCGGGCGGCGGCGCGTGGTGGCGGTAGTGGTGGTAATGGTGATGGTGGTAGTGGTGGTGGGAAGGTGGGGTCACCACGGGGCAGGTCAGGATAGGATTGTAATGAAAGGCTTAATCTTCCTCAAACTTTACACTTGTTTAATGTCTAGTGGAAGAAACATTCACATATTGAGCTTACGATTGAACACCAGTACTTCTAAGGAGACAATTAACTTATTGCAAAACTGTACATTCCATACATTATGATGAAAAAGGAAAACAGCTGAGTTTTGTACCCACATGTACTTTCTCAAGGAATTACACATTAAGTATGTAATATTTAATGCCATATCCTAAAGTGACTAAACCGAGCAACTACGGCACACGTGCTCAGCGCTGCAATGCTAAAATATGAGAGGCGGTGATCTGGTCACAGTGCCCAGCTTCCTATCTTATGCCTGGTGCCGTTTGACGGTAGGGCACCCAGCAGCTGCTCACCGACCACATCCTATGTCGACACTAACTCTTACAAGCTTGGTACTTACATCTGTTGGTTCATTAGAAAATTTTCAGATACTTGACACAAATTGCAATGAGAATAGTATGAATCTGAGACTGTCACCAGATGAACCATTACTGACAAACAAGAGTATCATGCACAACGCTTACAAGAAAACTCTATGAAATTGTGACAATGCAATATGCTTTCAGCTTCTGCTTGATGCCATTATAAAAAACAACAGGAAACAAAGAATCAATTGTCCTAACTGATATGTTTAGTTGAGAGGTGGCAGGCCGTCTGGGCTGGAGTGAGCCAGCAAAGACCACCGTGTATAACAAGCAGCTGCTGACCTAGTGATACTGACCATCTGACACCAACACGCATGTACCCATTGCATACACACCGTAACTCTAAGTCAGAGAGTACACAGCTTCCTGCTACCAGATAGTACTTCCTTACTCTAGTCGGTGGCATGCAGCTGGGAATATTCCTACTCAGATCTGAGATGTATGACATGCCCCAGCCCTGCTGGGATCTGTATAGGGGCCACCAAAGCCACTCTTAGCAGTAGATGGGTCGGGCGGCCCCAGGCCAGCAGGGCGGAGGCGTGCCTGTAAACAGGAAAAGCTGGCCCCCTGGTTGGTGGAGCGCCACGAGGTTCATCAGGAGTGGAGGATGAGGACGCTCTGCGTCCGGAGAGGACCGGGGCCCCGTGGGAGAGGATGAGGTCTAGTAGGGTGCGAACTTGCTGCGCTTGTTCTCCTTGGGGGAGCCATTAGTGGGCTGATGGACAGAGGCTTGGGCGCGCAGCTTGGGTTGATAGGCCTTGTTGTGCCTGTTAGCAGCCGCAATACCAGCCAGGCCCTGGGAGGAGTCGGGGGCGAGCAGGGAGGTGAGGGAGGACAGGCCCTGCAGGCCGGTCAGGGAGGACAAGGCGTTCAGGGCTTGCGGGTTCTTGAGCAGCTGGGCCAGGGGGATGGCACTGGGGCTCAGCCCTCCCGACCCGGTCGACCCGGACCCGCCCTTACTTACTTCAAGCTGCGCCTTGTGCAGTTCCATGCTGGGGGAGACAAGGGGCCGCAACGTTATCACTGGCACACTACGCCGCGCCACCGCCCACATGCCCACACTTGAACACTCCTCGCCACATTTACAGGATGATTTGTCTACTAATTTATAGCTAATCTAAGCATTAATATTCATCAAACTGATATTCCAATTAATTTTGCACATCTATCATTGTGTGGTTGTCGAGAACTGTCAAATGTGGGGAGGGTGAGAGTGGGCATGATGGGCTGTGGGGGAGGTGCGCGGCTGGCCCAAAGGATAAGGATCAGATAGGCCACGTTATCAGCTGATGGATGTACGAGGCTCCACACTGGATTATCTTTTGGATTTTGGAATAATGGATAAGGACGTCGCCTGACAGGTTGTGGGAGCTACTACAATATAAAGAAGGGAGGATATTGGTGTGAAGCTGTGACAGAGAACTGAACACAACCTGACAATGTGACGCCCAGAAAGGATAGTTGACACTTATCAGGTTATGACTAGGTATGAAAGAATGAGAAAAAGCTTTCAGATTTTTGAATACATAGATTTGGATATTCTTGTGTTGGATAATTGTGCTATATTTAGCTATGTTGGAAAATTGCAGATATTTAATAAAATTAGAACATAAAAATACAATTGTGTTGAAAACTAGTGTTACTTTAACAGCTGTAAAGAAGAGTGAGAAGCAGAATCCATTGTTAAAATAACAGTCCAGACCAGTATGAGGTAGAAATGCATAACAGAATAACATTACATGATAGAAGGCTATTTAGCGGGATGCTTCTTAAGGACAAGAGATTTAGGTGAAAGAGTTAGTCTGATCTGCTCACACTCTGGAAGAACTTAAATAAGCAAAACTTGTAACACAGGCAGAGAGTTACGGGAAGTTGGGACCAAGATCCATTCCCTGTCCACTTACTTTACTATGTTAATTTAAACAGAGCCAAGGTTAAGGCTGGCATGTTGTTGGTCCCTTGATCATTGGAGCAGTGACCAATGGACACCAGAGCCAATTCATAAAGTGGGTCCCATCAACCACAGAAGGAAGTGTTTAGTGCTCCTTGCAGGAGAACCACATGCTGAAGATGGGGTAGGGAGAATGGCAACAACAGCCAGCAGAGACAGCCATGACAAGGGAGGCCCAGAGTATGGGCGGGGAGTGGAAGTATGACTTACCAAGAGGGTTGAGGCCAGGGCTGCCTCCGGGAGAAATGGCACGTACCCACCAACACCAGCTACTGTACCGTAGCTGGGGGCAGGCACAGCGGTCATCACACGCCCACAACCACCACACAAAATGCCCAGACATAGGTACAAAAGCAACACTCATCATGGGGTAACTAGTGTTGTTTCAAGTTCAAGAGCCATTGTGTTGGCATGTAGATGTAAGAACTGAGGGTAGAGCAGGAGCTGAGAGATGGTTGGTAGTGTGTGGGGTTGAGGGCAGTGTGTACCGCCAGGATCAGGACTTTCAAGGATAACAGGTAAAGGACAAAGGACTTACCACGCGCGAATGGAACTGCACTTAGGGCATCAATAAAATTTAAGGTACAAAAATGGCAAGACCTGAAGCCAGTCGTTAAGGTAAGGAATACTGAGGTTTTGGTCAGATTGGATTTTATTAGGATCGCTTGAATGTGGAGAGAGCAGAGGCATGCAAGCCCCTGCCCGTAGCTTGTGTACAATAACGACGTAAACGTGTACATACCTTCAGTCCTTACGAGCGCTGGGACCTCACAGTACTGTGGAAATAGACCCACACACGTCAACACAATTACCAGTGGGCGGTTGTGCCACTAAGCTCCCCATGAACCAATCATTATCAAACAGTAAAATGAACACAAAACATTTATGCTATAGTAAATGTTTCTACTGAACATGTTCCACTCAGAGTAAGTATGGGAAAAGCACAACCCTCCACTTGGCTTATAAAGTTAGCCTAGTTCTCTGGATGAGTGTTACAAAGACAGAGTTAACTCGGGCAAGAGATGTATGGGTAAAGTGGAGTGACGCGAGGGCTGAGGAGGGTTGAGGGTTGAGGCTGCAGTTTACCTGGTGTTGATGAGGTACTGCGCGAGGGCAACCTGGTCCGCGTTACCCTTGATACTGATAGTCCTGTCTTGCTTGCTTGCCTCTTCTGACCCATCATCATACTTGCTGATGGTGATCATTGCCCCTGTGATTTGCCTGGAAAAAGAAGAGCAGGGGTGACTTCAAGTCACAAGTAGTGTGTCAATGATTTTTTTTTTTCTGTTGGTTGAAGAAAAATTCACCCATTGAAACTGTAATTAGCATTACACTTCCAGTAGTTTCATAAGGGTTAATATTTTGAGGGACTTACCTGATTTCAGCAATCTTGGTGCCACCCTTGCCAATGATGCAACCTATGAGCTCATTGGGCACGGTCATCTCATGAGTCTGTGTACCAGGGCCAGAGCCAGCGGGGGTCCTCAGTTGTGACCCAGCCAGGGCTGCTAGTGCTGAATGGGAAAAACAATTTCTGTACCATCACAACTAACTCAAAATATTTCATCATCACTCTTTATACACACTTTAACTTTAACACACACAATATTTTATATCTACATGAACCTCTTCCTTAATGTATGACCAGATCAACATACGATGACAGTACAGTAGTTCTGGTTATACTGTACAGTATAGAAATATATACAACTTATGGTAAGGATCAGACTGAAAACTAAATCACATTTTCTTGACTTCAAGTAAATACTGTACAGTATTGCTGACTACCAAGCCAGTGTATTCGGTCGTTGGAGGGGATACGGTTAGAAAACCAACTCCTCTATGGCAGTAAACAAACAGTTGGGTCACACAAGACAGGTTTATCAATGTGTACTGTGAGTGTAATAAGATGCAGTTAGTGCTGAGGGTTTCCATGGCAGGTGTAATTCCATGACAGGTGATTCTTGGTGAAATATTCCAAAACTACATAGCTGTTTTTAAAGTAATAACATCCAATATATATCATGCACACTCACACCAAAAAAAACCCTAATGCAATAAGCACTATACTGTACAATCTGAAAAATGAACAAAGAATCTGAAACCATTCCTAGATGACAAACCCCATTCTGCCCATTCTCACATCCACCGTGCCCAGGTGTTGGAGAAGTTTTTGTCGAGTGTACATGCAACCTCAAGAGGAGCAGCTAAACCTTGTGATGACATGTACAGTATCTGTCGTGTATACAGTGTGGTGTTGTGACCTACAGACCAACACTACTAGACCACAACACATCACCATCACAATAATAAAGTCAACATAAAACTCCAAGATGCAACAATTTATACAGGGACAAAGGAGGCCCCTGGACTTAATATAGATACGAGAAATTAGGACAATGTTGCTTTTTTTTCCTCGAATTAATGAAATATAATTCAGTAATGCAGGGAGTTATGGCAAATACCCGTCGTTTACTTCCCTTGAGGGCGAAGCAACGAATAATACCGAATGAAACAACGTGATAATCTGAGTACACTCGGACGTTGATATGTTACAGCTTAACAATTACTCCCGAGATGTTATTAACTACAGTACGTCCAAAATAATCTACCAAGTCATGGGTAAATAAATACAATCTTCTCTTTCGGTGTATTGTAAAGGTCAATATGGTTTGATTTAGCACCAGAGTATAAACGTTACAACTCCTACATATATTTCTTTTTTTTGTGTACCGAGATGTGAAAAAGCAACACATTCTGTCCCTCTTTTGCTGTCTGTTGTTCAACTCGTGGCTTTAATAGGTGTAAAATTTACTTAAAATATCCTAAATAGTATTGTAATAAATAAATAAATAAAACCTGGGGTGGAGTGGGGTGTTAGCAAGAAGTATATGGGGGGAGTTGCAAGTACTGTAGTGAGGTGTGAGAGAGAAAAAGGAAGGTGGGGAGGAGGAGGTTAGCAAGTAGCAAGGTGTGAGGGGGAGAAAGACCAGAAAGCTGTGAGAGTTGCCAGAGAAAAGAATTGTTACTGATCAAATGGGTCCCAAGTCCTCATAGACCCCAACTTAACCTAACCCAACACTAATGGTTTTATCAAAGAAAGTCGGGACTTATTAAGACCTAAGACTGGGGGGGGAGGGCCATTTGAACAGTCACTAAAAAGGAATAATCTCTTTCCTCTTAAAGACACAAACACTAACAATAAAATACACACAAGACAACAACAACAACAAAAGGTCGGCCAGTGTCACATTTACTCTGGTGGCTCACACATTTAAGTTGCCCAAACATTAACTTCTGTGTAAATGATCGAAAAAAAGAACTATCCCAAAGACTTATAACTGGGGGAATTATATTCTTTTAAATAATATCTTAAATGTTTTGAAGGATTTAATGAGCAAAAATTAACTACCACTGGCATGACACGACACCTTTGACAACTGATCTCAAGGAATAGATTTTAAAATTTCTCACACTAATTCTTTGAAATTAAAATATACAGTATTTACACTTTAATGAAATGTCTAAAATATTTATACCTCCAGTAATTTCCAGTAACTGTAAAACTTGAAACAAATGAGTCACATTACTGTACACACGTCTACTACCTCGCCATAATGTGTGTGTAAAGTTTCAAAGCCTTTCATGGAAGACATTAGGAGGGGATGATATTACAGTGACCGGCCCAGTGTGAGGCGGGAGGGATGGATGGATGGCCAAGACTAAAGATGAAATGTGATGACAAGAACAAAGCTAAAGTGTTGTGTTGCACGATGCACCAGACAGTCAAACGTAATAGTAAGTGTGTGGCTGTGAGGGAAAGGCTGATGAGACAAGATATAATGTAATATATAAGTACAAAGAGAAATGCGGTACATAATTAAGAGAATGCCCCAAGACAGGTCGACGGGAGTGTCATGACGTAGACGGGAATAAAGTGGCGGCTTGTTTGTGTGTTCCTTTCCTCTGAGAACCTTCTACTGGGATTACTCTGATCTACATGGCAGGACTGGCAGACTGAACAGGGACACAAAACCAAAGAGGAAGAAAACTAAAAGTGCAAGTGCAGTATTAGTTAACATACCATCAGCTGTGTTGCCGGCGTGAGGGTTGACGCCACCACCTGGGTTGGCACCGGCTAGGCTGCCCAGACCCAACAGTCCTGCTAGCGGGGAGTTGTTGCCCAACTTGCTCATCTGAACATAAACAGATACAACGGTTGTTAGGTGACGATCGTCTATCCATTTTGTTTGTGAGAAAATTATTGTACAACTTTATGACACATTATAAGATGTGAAGTCCTTGTTCTAAAGACAAAATAAATACCAATTATAATACATTAACAACAAACCTAACTACAGTACTTGCCCTGAAACTATTTTTCAGGGCAGTTTAAAACTATTTCATGACAAATGTGACATGACTGACTGAACACTGTGCAGTATTGGCAAAAACAAAGAAATAATTCTATGTACATAAATAATGTCGAGGAAGAATTAGCTCTAACTAAAGTAATATCTTTGAAGTACTAAAGATATTATTTAGAGATTATATTCATGTGGTGTCAAATAATTAAAACATTATCAAGGCCTGAAAGAGGATTTCATTACTGGTGTGTGAATAGATAAGAGCAGTACATCATCTTAATCTAGCACAGATATAATCCCCAAGCCACCTCTGGGGGGCCCCTCCAGGTTGGAGTGTGCGGCACAGGCCGGGCGGGACTGAGAGAGAGACAGAGAGAGCACTCGGGCAGCGCTGACTGGGTGTTGGGGGGCGCGGGCCAGTCCTCTTCTTCACACCTTTCAGGATTCTTCTTTTGCAAGTCAATTTTTCTGTGGATGTGTAGTGGGTCGCCGCCTGATGGTGGTCAAGGGAGGATGGGCAAAGCACAGGTGGTAGTAGTGCCTCTCCTGACACTGGCTAGTTATGGTGATGTTTCCTCTCCTTCAGTAGCTGTGTCAGGAAAGGCCTCCAGGGTGACAGTGGTCGTCAGTAGGGTGCACCAACATTGAGGAAGTGTCGTATGTTAGTGAGGGAAGCTGGGCGTGGGTTGAGGAGGGAGCTGAGGATAGGTTGCTAATAGTTGAGGAATAATTGTGTTGCACCTTTGAAAACTAACCAAATTAGCCAGCGAAAAGAAAACATTTATTAATTCATAACTGAAGTGAAGAAAGAATGATCCAGGACAGTCTGTGGGGGGTGCTGAGTGAGCGTCGACCGGCTCGTGACAATCTCCTAAAACATTTTCTAATCTGGGGTGGCTGTTGGTAATGGTTTCCTCGAACATCAATAACATTTCAAAAACAAAATTCTCAGCAATATAATGACAAGGAAAGTTGGCTATTCTCAGCCGATTATCAATTATTTCACTGTGAACTGAAGTCTCCGTCTCCTCTCACATTAGAGAGCTGGGTTCAGGAGCACAACTATTTAATTATATATTTTTTCACTTTTAACAGGAATATACCGTATACTGTATGCGTCTCCATCAAGTGTCAGAATCATATGTTGGTGCTGGAAATATGTGTCAAGACTAAAAACAAGAAATAGGTCAATGAATCACTTGGTATCTGATCAAACCTTACACCTGCACCTTGACAGAAGCACCTCACTTCTGTATCTCACTGTGTGTTGCCTAACTTTATAATGCTCTTAAATCCCATACCTTCCCCATTGTTTTTTTTTTATTTATCTCCTCATACAATTTCCTGTTAATGGTTCAGGTCTCTATACTCTTAACATGTGTTGTCATAGTCTCTGAGTGGAAGTAAAGGGTTTTGAGGGAAACACTAAAATCAAAAGGCTAAGACGATCATGCAACAGGGACAATACTGGAGTGTTGAGCCGGGAGCGTCAAGCGTCAAGCGTAGGGTCGGGGGAGACCAGAAATTGTCCAGCACACCAAGGTAGGTCGCAAGGCCACAGTAAATTAATAGCCATTTTGTTAACACTAACATAAGGACTATAACGCATTTACATTTAATATGGACCAATACAAGTTATCCTTCTCTGATCAACTTATCGTCAAGTTCAACTGTTCACCTCAGTGTTACTTTATATAAGATCTTAATTAAGGATTGTAATAAAATCAATGACAGTTTACATTTATATAAATAACTTATCCAATGATAAACTACATAACAAGTGACTCTAATCTTACTAAATTAATTAAATGTTTTCTGATCAGACTTTAGTTGTTAGAGAAACATTGAGTCAAGCTTTCCAGTTTGTAAGTTTGAAGGGTAGAGGTTGAGTCCCCCTATGAGGGAGACAGTCAGTGGTACAGAGAGAGAAAGAGAGAAGGGTGTTAGGGCCTTCGTCAGGAGGTGTGGGTTGGTGTTGGCGGCGCAAGGGAATGAAGAGGCGTCAGCATGGTAGGGACGAGTGAGGAAGCCCCGCGCCCCACGACCCGCCAGCAGGAGCTGCTGTGCACCTGGGAGATGTACCACCAGGTGTCACCACCTAGCCCTGGCCACGCTCTCACTTACATTTCCAAGAGTAATGCTATACCGAATATATCTAAATTTTACTGTAACACTACACGAATAGCCACGTACATGCAGGATGGCAGGCGGGTATCTAAGGGCAGGTCCTGAGTTAAAGGCTTGGCTGTTGGGTTAGGGCAGAGGTTATGGGGGTGCAACATGCAGGGTGTGATCAGGAAGCACATTGGGCAACACTAATCAGGTCTGGTCGGGTATGGAACACGTCCGGATCGGATCGGGTCGGGTCGGGTCGGATGGGCGGCGAGGAGCCACGGAGAGGGTCCAACTGGGCATGGGTCACACGGGCACTCGGGCGGGACACGGCGGTGTGACTTACATCCTGCATGTGGTGGAGATACGGGTGTGGCATTATGCCAATTTGGCCGTTCTTCAAGTGTTCGGGTGGGTGGCCTGGCGGATGGCCCGGCGGATGGCACTGGGTCGTGATCTGCAAGTGCCCCGCATGGCATGGGTGATGGCCCGCAGGCGTTATGATGGCGCCATGGTGTGGGGGGCCCGGGGAAGGCGCTGTGGAGACGGGACATGGGGGCAGGAGGGGGCTGAGGGGGGCCTGCATGAAGGGGCCGTGGGGCCCCCCAATTGGTGGTGGGGGAACAAAGGGAACGGTACTTACATCGGGCGCTGAGGGAACAGCGTAATTACCCTGGATAGTATAGGCCTGGCCGCCGGCTAGGATCACCGGCCCACCGGCGACCTGGGGTTTGGGGCGGTAAGGGATCGTGGCGCCTTTGGGAGGGGACTGAAAGAAAAAAATAAATATATAAATATAAAATATATAATACAAATCACACGACGATCTTACTAAACACAATAATATAAATTCATTATACAGACAGTATCCACAGCAGCAATTTACTTAACATAAACCTGACTTAGTAAATTCACAAGACATTAGTGTGTCACGTGTGTAACATCACGCGTTTGTCCCGGCAGTGACGTACTGACCTCAAGCATGACGCAGCAGATGTTGTAGATACACTGGGTTATGGCCTCGGAGGTGCCGGACACGGTGACCGCGCGCTCCGTAGAGTTGGGCAGCATCTCGGACGCCACCTGGATGGACGCTCCGGTTACCTCGCGAATTTCCTTAATCTTGGATCCGGCCTTGCCGATGAGTGAGCCACACTGGGAGGCGGGGACGATCAGCCGCAGGGTGATGGGTGGCCGCTGCTGTCCTCCTCCGCCGCCGCCTGCGCTCCCATTATTCTGGTACATCTGACCCAGGAACTGAAACAACACATTCACTTACTTAAATATCAGAAGAATATATTTTCATACAACTAATAATGCACAATGAATAAAATCTGAACAAATATAGAAATATAAGTGAAAACATTGTACTCATTGTACTCTTAAAATGCTCAGTACAGTCTCACCCAAAAGTTGGTTAACTCTCCCAGCCAGCTATTGCTGCACTGTCTGCTTCAGATGTATGAACTTGAGTCTGTTACTTTGAACCTTTAGATTCATTCGTATCGGTTTTATGTTCTGGTTGGTACCGAGACAGTTTCAAACATCTGAAGCAGGCAGTGCAGCAATAGCTGGCTGGGAGAGTTAACAAACTTTTGGGTGAGACTGTACCAACGAAACCCAACCTAACTAAACCAAACCAACCAAGATAAATCATCCTACCTCACTTAACCAACCAACCTATATAACTTAACCAAGATACCTGAAGCAACCAACCTAAACCAGCCCACAAATCTTAATCATCCTATCAACCTAAACCAACCAACATAAACCACCCAACCATAAACATCATGACACAGCTGGTTGTTTACTTTTGACTGTGTTTAATAGAAGACTTATGATTATTTACCACAAATAACAGTAAGCAAATCCACAGGTTTAAGATGGATGTAAGAAAGAAAAAGAAGGAAAGAAAGAACAAGATGACAGAAATAAGACAGAAAGAAAGAAGCCAAATACTGTACCTAAACATTAACCCCACAAGTGCCCTAATTACATACCAACACTACTATTACCGTCGGCAGTATTCAAGTTAATTTAAAATAGTTACCCCTCCACCCAAAATAATAATAACAAATTAAATAAAAAATTATTTATGAAAAGTATCATGATTCAATTTCTGATTAAGTGTATTTAAAACGAGACAAATATAAAGCCAGGATGGAACAGGTTCAAGAACATGGAAACTGTAACTCCCTCTCTCCTTCTGAACTGTATTGGTAATTACTGTATTCTGGTGTGTGTGTGAGGATTATGTATTTGCAGATGAGGAAAGTGCAATACAGTAATATGTATAATCTAACAACGGGAACTGCTGTAATTATATATGTGCCAGATGCAATAATTATATTTTCTTGAAGTTACGTCGAAATTGAGGCGAGTATAATTTGAAACCGGTAATTAATTATTCTTAAAGCGAGAATATTAAATCATTAACGTACGGTATATTACAGTAAATGGAAAGTGTAATATCAGAAATAATTTGAGACTGTTACGAGGCATAACTTAACCTAGACTTATGTTAAGGCATCCTAGTATCATCCAAATATCCTAACAAAACACAATGACTGAATGATAGTGAACGATTTAACTCTTAATTCCCATCACTATAAAATATACACTACTGTGTTAAATATTTGAAAGACTTGGTGTTAGGATAATGTCGATTTTAACATGAATTATTATGCACCAGGGTATTGATCACTTCCCCGCTAATAAGAAAATACTGAGACCAAGAATTTACTTTATACCAAAATATACAGTATAGTATAAGTTTTTATTCTGATATTTTGTGAATGGTTAAGTTAGGATCTAGAAACAAAATGTAGGTTCTGTGTTGTTTTGTTTTGTGCTGTGTTATGCTGTGATGTGTGTGGTGTTATGTGTTGTGTGTTGTGTGTTATGTTATGCTGTGATGTGTTGTGGTGTCATGCTGTGTTGTGTTGTGTTATGTGTGTGGTGTGTCATGTTATGTGTATGCTGTGTTGTGTTGATGTGTGTGTGTTGTGTTATGCTGTGATGTGTTGTGGTGTCATGTTATGCTGTGATGTGTTGTGGTGTCATGTTATGCTGTGATGTGTTGTGGTGTCATGTTATGCCGTGTTGTGTTGTGTGGTGTTGTGTTGTGATGTGTGGTATTCAACATCCAAAAGAAACATAACTTACATTAAGAATACAACAACAACAACAAGAGTTATGCATTTTACTATACCCTGTACATTACAAAGGGTATCTACGGTCGTGTCTATACTGTATACTCAACACACACACTGAAAACATGGTCGGAATAATCAATGTATTGGAAAGTGTATCATAACACAAGATACAGGATATTGTAAATGACCTTAATCCCTCCCCATGGGCTGGTGATGATCAAGTGTTACTGCACTGAAAACTTGTAGGGAATATCATCATTTACTCTCCACGAGACAGTGCTCTTCCTTTACTGGCTGACACACACACACGGTAGATTGGTCATTTATCATTTGGAAGTTTATACTAGTTTTATAATTCACGAGATAACATTCCATACAGCTTCCACTAATGCATGTGTATCCCTAAAGCACACAGGCCAGCCATTCAATACAAGAACAATCACCTACACTAATATCTGACACAGTGGCTGGTGTGTTTTGTAAGGTGTGGCAAGAATGCTTATCTCGCATCCCTAGTTGTTTTATTGTGGTGTAAACAAAACAGAGTTGCCATATCTCACAAAATGCACCAACCTTTGTACCAGGTAAAAGTGAAGGCAACTGAACCTTTACTCAACCCCTCCTCCATGACCCACCACCACTACCATCAAGAAGCAAGCCCTTAAGAAGACTGGTGTTGAAGGACCTCCCTCTTAGGCATACACACCGAGTCATACCAACATAATACACAATGTAGAGAAGTGAGAATAATGCTGAGAAGGGAATGACTGGCAAGAACACAGCCAGCCAGCCGCCAAGAAGATATACGCCCGCACAATGAAGCCCAAGCCGGTCTTTCATCAAGTGGAAGCGCGGGTAAACAGAACGTGCGATAGTGACGAGTACCTCAAAATTACACCCTCTCTCTCTCTCTCTCTCTCTGTTTGTTTGTTTCACCCAATTTAAAATTCATGGGCAGCCAGACCAGCTTCCAGGGAAGCTTTATAAGCTACCTGACAAGTGGTTCCCTCACTAGTGCAGATGATGGAGCAGTACTAATCCACCAACGCCAGGTAATGTTGCCATATACTGTAGGATGTATCATCCAGCAAACACATGGCCACACTGCTCGGTATACCATGGCCACACTACACAGTTTACCATGGCCACATCGCACAGTATAACACAAACCTGACAACACAGTATGTCAACATTACAACACAGTATGATAACATGGCAACACTATGATAACACACCTGACATAAACTTCCCAGAGGTGCCACCCTAGCGTGTTATGAACCACACACACCAGCATGAAGGTAAATTTAACGATACGATATCAAGTTACCATATCAAGACACAGGAAGGTCTGATAACAGTGGCTCATACAGCATAAAAGTTCATGATATCAACTAAAATTCCAGATATGATTACTCAATATATGTTGGTGCTGTGACCTGGTAGTAGGGCCAGATCTGGTGCTGTGACCTGGTAGTAGGGCCAGACCTGGTGCTGTGACCTGGTTGTAGGGGCAGACCTGGTGCTGTGACCTGGTAGTAGGGCCAGACCTGGTGCTGTGACCTGGTTGTAGGAACAGATCTGGTGCTGTGACCTGATAGTAGGGCCAGACCTGGTGCTGTGACCCGGTAGTAGGGCCAGACCTGGTGCTGTGACCTGGTAGTAGGGGCAGACATGGTGCTGTGACCTGGTAATACGGGCAGAGACCGGGAGCTGTAACCTGGTAGTAGGGGTCAGAGACCTGGAGCTGTGACCAGGTAAGGGGGGTGGGCAGAGACCAAAGACTCGATGCTGTGACCAGGTAGGAGGGGTCAGAGACCTGGTGCTGTGACCTGGTAGCAGGGGTCAGAGACCTGGTGCTGTGACCTGGTAGCAGGGGTCAGAGACCTGGTGCTGTGACCTGGTAGCAGGAGAGAGACTAGAAGATACCAGAAGTTTGTGTTTGGTTATCTTACATAAATAATGTGGCCCTCACTACCTCAGCCTCACCACTCACCACGCCCCCACCAACACACTACTCACCACCACCACACTTCACCCCAGTTCACCACCACCACCACCACCACCACACTTCAGCCTCACCACACCACCACCACGCCCCCACCACCACCACCCCAGCCTCACCACCAGGGCAGGAGAGCTGTCCGTAATAAACACCGGACGACTAAATCCAAAGTGGGAGCAGCAGAGTTATTATGGAAAGTTTCAGTGGTAGTGGAGGCCGGAATGGTGGTAGTGGAGGCCGGAATGGTGGTAGTGGAGGCCGGAATGGTGGTAGTGGAGGCCGGAATGGTGGTAGTGGAGGCCGGAATGGTGGTAGTGGAGGCCGGAATGGTGGTAGTGGAGGCCGGAATGGTGGTAGTGGTGGTGGTGCCTTTGGAGGATTACTGCCTAACCTCCATTGTAGGTAATTAGTATAGAGGGAGGGAGGAGGAGGAGGAGGAGGAGGGAGGGGAGGAGGAGGGAGGGAACGGAATGGAGGGAGGAATGGAGGGAGGTTATTATGCGAGATGCTCTTATTTAGGGATACATTCTTCTCGAAGACCAGGGAGAGAGAGAGAGAGAGAGAGAGAGAGAGAGAGAGAGAGAGAGAGAGAGAGAAAGAGAGAGAGAGAGAGAGAGAGAGAGAGAGAGAGAGAGAGAGAGAGAGAGAGAGAGAGAGCGAGGGGGATGTTGGTATTCATAAAAAGAGGGGCGGAAAGGCAGGGAGATCTCACAGCAGCAGCAGCAGCCTACACACACACACACACCATGTTTACACTCTGTCAATTGGTAATGAGTTCTGCATCGGCCCGCACACACGCACACACTCACACACACACGCACTCACTCACACTCGACGGCTGCAGAGAGGCTGAGGCTGGGTGCTGAAGAGGAAAACCCTGGATAGAAAAATAGAAGAGAAAAATGAGAAAGCACAAACGGGTAAAAGGATATGAAGAGCTTTTTTCTGGAGGTAGTGGCGGCGGTGATGATGAGGAGGAGATGAAAGAGGCAAGGGGAAGGGGAAGGAGAGGTAGGAGGAGGAGAAGGAGGAAGGAGGAGGCAAGGAAGGAAGGAGGGTAGGAGAGAGGAGAAGGACAAGGTACAAGGAAGGAGAGGTAG